TTATTCATTTGAATTTTTATTTATCTCAATTATTATTCAACAAATTTTAAATTTTGTCAATAACAATTGAACTTTATTTGGTATAATGTGATGAATTTAATAATCTTGGTTTGTGACAAGGTACAAATCATAAAATTTTGGAATTTCTCATTGCACATTTATATTTTCTCGTAGATCATGTACGAAATTTTTAAAATGCTTTCTGTTTTCAGAGATATATCTCTGAATGCACAAATTCTTCATTTTATCTAACACTTAATTCTGAGATGTATCTCTAAAGAGATTTTAGGGTATGTTCGCATATACATTTCTGAATTAACTTTTTTTTTAATTCAAAAAATTATTTCAGAGATGCATCTCCGAACTAAGTGAACATATTTAACCGCGCCAGACTCTTCCTCTTTTCTCCTTCATTTTCATAAAACAAACTTTGTTTCTCCCTCCCTTTATCCATTTTCAGTTCACAATTAATCTCAAGTTTTGAAACAACTTTAGATCCTTTGCTTGTATCTTGTCATTCTCAACTCCCTCTAACTATTGCATTCAACATTTTATACCTTCATCAATATATTTTTGAGTTAGTTTCTCATTTAGCTTATTTTGTGTTTTGATTAATATATTAGCTCAAATAGGTTACTTTTAATGCATTAGATATCATTAACATTTAAAATACATTAATTGTAGGATATGTTTCTCTCATTTGGGTGATTTAGATGAGTTTTGGATGGTTAGGACAAGGGCATAGATGTTTCTGGCATTAAAATGAAAAATCGAAGCTTTTTTCAGAGATGTATCTCCAAAATGTGATTTTCCTGATGTTTGGAGATACATCTCCAAATTCTTTCCTTCTTGATGTACTAATGTCTTTTGTTATGTTTTTTTCAAGGATAATGGTTGCAAACAACGACAAGATGAGACTCGGCCATCTCACCCTAACTGCGTCTGCTCGTCGCAAGAGGGCTCGTCAGCATGAGCAAGCTAGAATTGTCCTTGTCCATATGCCTCACGACAGAGAAGCGTCGACCTCTAGGAACAAATTATCACAAAGGTTGTTATCCCAGACTCGTGCACACCATGAGGAAGGGGCCCCGACTGCACAGTAGGTTCCAACTACACAGGAGGCCCCACTTTCAGACCCTTATCCATGAGGACCCACTAACACTTTATTATTGATATACTTTAGAGATCATCTGGCTCCGCATATCTTGGACGAAGAGGTATACTTCGTAATGGTTCTGTTTTTTATATTTTGACCAAATTCAATTTGATTGAGACTATTATATTTTATTTTCAACAGGAACTGGAGTGTTTAAAATTAAATAACCATTCCATAAAAGATTCACAGGCTTGCTCAGCCTCAGGAAGAGTGATTCCTTAGTGTACTTGAGTCTTCCGGTCTTGTAGGTTTTTGTGCTTCCGGGTACTCAGTCATCAGCCATGGTATGCAGGTTGCATGTGCTGAAAGAGGGCATAGTGAAATGTCATATTTCCATCTCCCCATTAGAGAGATCACAGTTACATTAGATAATGTTGCTTGCTTCCTACACCTTTCCATTAGAGGAAATTTGCTTGATAATTCTAAGATCACCAGAGTTGATATAGTGCGGATGATAGTGGTTTATTTGGAAACTGACCCTGAGGAAGCCGTGAAGCAATGTAACAGCACCAGAGGTGCACATGCCAATTTTTCTTTGTTGAAGACGTTGTATAAAGACAACTTGGAGATAGCTAAAGATCCAGACGCTGATGATCGACAGGTTGGCTACCACGGGGAGTATGCATTGAGGTGTTTCTTCTTATTCTTGGTTAGCATGTTCGTGTTTGTGGATAAAAGTGTAACCTACGTGAATGTGGCATACCTTAAGTATTTTATCGACTTGGAGGCCATTCACGAGTGAAACTAGGGGCCTCATGCTTGGTACTATGGAACTGGAGAATGACCAGATCATGGATTATCATGTCATTGATGTGTTATCGATTTGTCATAACATTATGTGGATGACAAGAGAGGGCATCGAGTCTGAGTTGTTTGAGAGAGGTGGCGATGAAGCGGTTGACCTAACACGATCGATTCTTATCGAGGCATGAAATACCTTGGGTTATCATAGACAGAGGAGGAGGAGTGGTGTTAGGATTAGGCATACTCAATTAGTGGTGGAAAACAGGCATACTTATCCCGTTTAAGTCTGCTTCCCAAAAGCCAGTAAAAAATAGGGTGGGCGTGCTTTGTTGACGGTGCGGGCCTAAAACATTTCTTCGTCCCGTAAAAAATGAGCGTGGGGCGGGACGGTCCCGCGGAAATTGTACCTTTTAATCCTAAAAATTACAAATTAGCTTAAATTCACTTTTTGGTCCCTCTATTTTCACGTTTTTTGAGTTTTAGTCCCCCCCCCCCCCCCCCCCCCATTTTAAAAGTCAACTTTTTGGTCCCTAAACTTTACCTCACTCGAGATTTTGTTAGTCTTTCTATAGTTTTGCACACGTGGCACCCTTATTAATGAGATGGAACTACTACAGTAACTTCCTACAATGTGTGTTCATCTAATGTGGAGTTACAGTAGCAGTATCATGTCATTAATAAGGGTGCCACATATGCAAAACTAGAGGAAGACCAATGAAATCCCGAGTATGGTAAAGTTTAGGGACCACAAAGTTGGATTTTATAATGGGGGAACTAAAACTTAACAAATTTGAAAATAGAGGGACCAAAAGTATATTTAAGCCTAATAAATTTTTATGTTAATGCATGTGTCTGCAAAAACCCGTAAAAAACAGGATGGGCGGAACGGGCATATTAGATGGTGTGGGTCTAAAACCTTATCCCCCTTGCAAAAAACTATGGGCAAAATGGTCATGTCCAACGGGTCGAGCCCGTTTTGCCACCCCTATACTCAATTGACTATGCATTTGATTGTATTTTGTATATTTTCCATCGACTTGGAGAATAGTTTTCGTACTATGGTAGTCTTTCTGATTAATTAACGCATTACTCGGTTATATGATATTTGTGTTAGTTGAAAATAATTATTCAAGTGTGTGTAACAAGTGATTGGAGGTTGATGACAGATTACAGCTTCTGAAATAAGCACTTGTGGAAAGCAAAAAAAATAGTTTTTCGACTTCGTAACTGGTTATATGTAACCGGTTACATGCAGTCAGAATTAATTTTATTTTTTATTTGCTTCAATGGTAACCGGTTACATGTAACTGGTTACCAACCCGAGTTTTGTGTTTTTGAGCTTATTTGCTTTATTGTTTTGGGTCTCAATTGATGTAACTTGCTTGTATAAATATCCTTTGTGGTATAATGTGCAAATTAATGAAAATTTCTCTTCTCGCTCTCAATTACTCTCTCGCATTCTAATTCTATTCTTTTCTCACTCCATCTTCTCCATAAACACTAAAACCTCCATTGATCTTTGAAATAAATAATGACAGTGTTAATCGAATTAAAATTAGTTTGGATTGAAAAAATTACAAATTCAGTAAACTATTTCTGCACAAGAAACATACAGGCAAGAATTTGAAGATGTATCTTTGAATTTACTCCACTCATAATTCGAAGATACACCTTCGAACTATTTTCTTAAGAAATGTGGTGACTGATTAATTTATTAAGGAAGAAATGTAACTTCAGAGATGTATATGCGAAGTAACCTTGGATTTATTCGAAGATGTATCTTCAAACTAATTTTTGGTAAAAAAATAATATTTTATACTTTTAAAGATATATCTTTAAATAAATTCAATAATATTTTAGAATTTTCAGAAATGCTTCCATTATACGTAAGAAATTGTCTAAATTTTTCTTTTCAAAATTTCTCATATAAAATTAAAAATTAAGTCGAAGGATTATGCACTTTATATAAAATACTTATGCGATATGACATAGTAAAAATTCATCATTTTACCATTTAGGTCTATTTAATAACTGACTTTTAGAAATAAGACGATTTTTTATTAAAATAACTCATAGCTATTTAATAAATTAGTCGGTAGTTTATAATTAGAATGATAACTTATAAATGAATTAATGTGATATTACTAGTTTATAAATTACTAAACTATTAATAATAAAAAATTATATTTTCTTATATATTTTTGCCAAAAAAATATAAAATGATATAAAAAAATTCTCAATTAATAGTTTAGTGGTTCAATTATCTTAGTAATTAATAATATAGTGGTTCAATTCTTTTATATGATATTATTAAATTTATTTTTATTTGATAAACACATTGACACACATTTTTTTATATATTATTATTAAATTAATTTTTAGTACACACACGTTCACATACACACAATCTATAATATATTCAACACATGTATAAGTTGGTAGTAAATAATATAATAGAAGTGAACATCAATAACGATAGAAAATAATATTGAAACCGATGGAGAAAAAGACAGATAGCCTTTGTATCAGGGCAGAATATTCATGAACATGTTTTTTTTGGCATATGAATTGATAAAAGGGTATAGTGGGAGAGGTGGGATGCCTAGATGTATGGTGTAGATGGATATTGACTTTGTTGATTGGCAGGCACTGAAAAGTATAGGTTAAATATTTTTTCTCCTCCTATTAAGTTATTAAGAAACTCCCAATGCCATTTAATGAATAAGTTTAATAAAAAAAAAAGATGAGTCTATCAACTATGTCTAAACCAAACTTTCAGCTATCAATCTTGAGAAAAATTATTTATTGAATAAACACTGATGCATTTTCAAAGTATAGCATAAATAATATCGAAAAAAAGAAAGAAAACATTACTGAATCAGTATTGGTCCACACGCTTTCCGTGCTACCTCTTAGCAACTAAACAAAACTATCTCAAAACTCGCACCAAGAGTATGTATGAACTTTCATATTTGCATGAGAAAGGTAAAAACTCAAGCAAATATATTGAAGCTATTTCCAGCTATTATTTTCTTATGTAAATGTAAGCAAATCAAGTGAACTATTATAGTCCTCAAAAAGGGTGCATATGCAAAGCTTTTCAGAATGGGAAGTTGACTGGCTCACGTTGAAGGGCTTTCTCAGCAATCTCAGCTTGTTCTTTCTGGTGAACCTTGAGGAAACCAGTTGCTGTGGCTGCAGATGGGGCGCGACCGACGTATTTGACGTCATCAAAACCACCTCTGCCTACAGCTTTCAAGGAAGATACAAGTCGGGGTAGGATGTAAGTGTATCCACCCATGTTCATTGGTTCTTCTTGACACCAAACAACCTCTGCATCTATAAGAAACAAAACAGAAAATAAAAATAGCCACAACGTTAAAAACAAATTAAAGTCTCACCGTCTTCAATGTTTAAAATGTTAAAACAGTTTATAGAAAAATTATTGACAGAACTATTTGATATTATTACGACTAGGTAAAAGTAGTTTGGGTCCCCTAAAATACTGAGGGTAGCAAAGTTAAGTCATTAATATTTTAATCAATAAATTATCTCTCTGAAATGGAGCAAAATGGGCCCGGTGACAATGCCCATTTTGCCCGCACATTTTCGCAGGGCAGGTCAAGGATTTAGGCATGCACCATCTACTAAGCCTGCGCCAGCCCCATTTTATTGCGGGTGCAGGCATTAACATGAATTTTGCAACTTTTAGGCTTTGAGGGTGCGAGCCAGTCAGGCCCGCACACCCTATTTTTTCCGGGGCGGGTGATGGTTTTAGGCCTGCACCTATACTATGTGCGTCCCACCCCGTTTGTTTTAGGGCTTTTGCGGGGCGGGCCTAAACGGGGCAGATATGCCTGTTTTCCACCTACTTGAGGTGATCCAAACACGAGTAAAGGATGCAACAGGAAAAGGAGAAATTTTAAATCTTGCTACCTAATAGAAAGACAGTAGTTAGAAACATCTTGGATATATACTTTGACAACCTCTAAAATTACAAATACTTGAATATCTTCTAAAACTAAAAATACATACTTGGATATCGTTTAAGCTCTCGTTGGACAAGGTCATAGGGGAAAGGACAAAGTTGTTCCACCCTACATATTGCAACATCCGATGCATCAACTTTAGTTCGTTGATCATCAAGTTCATAGTAAACCTGCAGAAGATAGTTGGTTTCTTTAGTCAGAAACAATGTGCATAGAAAACAAACCCTAGTACTCTATTAAATTGAAGGACTAGATATTTAGGTCAACAACATCTGTTGTTATAAAATCCATAAAATGAAATTGCATAAAAACTTAGTTAATATGGCCACCACAAACCTTTCCAGAGCAGAGTACTAAACGTCTAATACCCTCTTCAACAGTGGAGTGGTCATTTCGGTCTTTTATGAGACGCTTAAATCTGGTTCCCTGTTTGTCAAAACCAGGATGCCCTTGGACATCATCAAACTCTGATAGGTTTGATCTGCAAGCCTTGCTGCGAAGTAGATTCTTAGGGGACATTACAATGAGCGGCTTTCGGAATTCTCTATGTATCTACAAGAACAAAAACAGCAGGGCATTAAAAGAAGAAAAAAAAGGGAAATTTAATTTTAAAAACAAACATCAGACATATTAGTATACCCACCTGCCTCCTTAAAACATGGAAAAAGTTGGCAGGAGTTGTGACATTCACAATCTGCATATTACACTCCTGAATCTGTTTCCTAAGAGTTGGATCCATCTCAGGAATAATATATGGATTGTCATCAGCCATCTGCCATGAAATTAGAGTATGTTAATTCACTCTTATGATCACTAACTAAACACAAAATATATATATATATATATTGAATATGTTAATTCACTCTTTTGATCACTAACTAAACACAAACACAAAAGAGGCAAACAAACAATAGCCAAAGTTGACGAACTGATTCAAGCAGAAGATAGACAAAAGGGTAAAAAGTAATTTCAATAAATTATAACATTGATTCACAAGAGAAGAGAACCTGAAGAAAACGTTCCAATCTTGCACTTGAATGCTCAGGACCCTGGCCATCATAACCATGAGGAAGCAACACAACTAGCCCAGTTTGACGGAGCCACTTGGACTCACCAGAAGCCAAGAAATTGTCAAATATCACATGAGCCCCATTAGCAAAATCTCCAAATTGTGCTTCCCAAATTATCAATGAATTGGGGTTTTCCATTGAGTAACCCAATTCAAATCCAAGAACAGCAAACTCTGAAAGTGAGCTGCATATTGTTTCAAAAACTTATTAGAGAAGAGACTTGAAATAGAAAATAATACATCATTTGTTCAATACAAGTATCAAGATTTTTTTGCCACAACTGGAGTATCGATTGGATTACACTTGAATTTTTATAATATTAAAGATAATCTTGCCATACAAAAGAAGTCACATAACATAACAAGACCTTGTAACACTTACAGAACAAAGTTATCAACATTTATAAGTAGAGGCTAGAAGCATAGAGCAGGAATGATCTTAATAAAGAAACACATACTCAACGACAATTGACAATAGTAATACAAGAAAATGTCAAATAACTGTTAAATTTACAGAACAGTTGCACATTTGTGATATATGTTTGTAGCTTGAAGAAGACAGGCCTAAAGGCAAGCAAATACAAGATACAAAAAAGCTCATATCTTAGAAAAGAAGGATACTGGTCCACAGAACAGTAAGAAAGCTGAAATAGACAAGATAGACATGTATACATAGAAGAAAGCATACCTGTTGCTAACAGTAAACATCTCTTCATCTTGGTTCATTATAACGTTGTCAAGGGGGCAATATTTCTCCCCAGTAGCCTGATCATGAACTACAGAGTGGCGGTGACTAAAAGTACCTCTTTCAACATCCTGACCACTCAATCGAACATGGTTGCCTTCAACAAGCAAGGTAGCAAAAGCAAGTGCCTCTCCAAATCCCCAGTCAATGTCTTCACCACTTTCAATCATTTGAGCACGTTGTTCATAAATCCTCTTCACTGCTTTGTGAGGTGTGAAATTTTCAGGGATGGTTGTGATTGCTTTCCCAACTGTTTTCAAGATCTCTGGTTTCACACTGAATGGGGAAGTTCAAGTATTTCAGAAAAGTGGTACAAATAATAAAAAAGACTATAGAAAAAAATAATATTAAATTTACCATACCCAGTGTTTCGGACACGGGAAAGCTGTTCGGGCGACTTAAAGCCAAGCCAGTATGCTGAAAGCCAATCTCTTCTTTTAGGAATGTAATCTTTGCTAGCTTGAAATTCTTCATTTAGAATTGATGTGACCTTCTTGTGTATCTTATCAATGTCATCTTGTGTCACCTCTCCAGTTGCCAAAAGTTGCTTCTGATAGATTTCAAGAGTTGAAGGATGGCTTCTGATGACCTATATTAAGCCAACAAAGTTACAAATCTGATTGACTTGTTCAAAATCAGTGTGTATACTGTATACAAAAAGAAGAAAAGCATAATAAACAAAAGGGCTTACCTTGTACATTTTAGGCTGCGTGAAAGAAGGTTCGTCAATCTCATTGTGGCCAAATCGACGATAACACACCAAGTCCACAACCACATCTGAATGGAAAGTTTGGCGCCACTCGGCAGCAAGTTCACAGGCATGAACAACTGCTTCCACATCATCACCATTAACATGAAAGATGGGACATTCTAAAGCCTTAGCAACATCTGTGCAATACTGTGAAGACCTGCCAGACATTGGATCAGTTGTAAATGCAACTTGATTGTTTAACACAATATGAATAGTCCCACCAGTAGTGTAATTTGGAAGAGCACTTAGATGCAGCGTTTCATAGACCACACCCTGGCCGGCAAAACTACCATCTCCATGAAGTAAAATACCCATGTTTTTTGTCCTGTCCACATCATTTGCATAATACTGCTTCGCTCGAGTTTTCCCAACAACAACAGGGTCGACAGCTTCCAAGTGACTGGGATTTGCCACCAAAGACAAATGTATCCTCTTGCCACCCCGTGTAGGACGATCATAAGATGTTCCCAAGTGATACTTAACATCACCAGTTCCAGTGTAAAGCCCAACTTCATCCTCCGGTGAGAGACCACCGCTGAACTCACAAAAGATCTGACGCAGCGGCTTCCGAACTACATTACCCAAAACATTCAATCTTCCCCTGTGTGCCATTCCAATAACTATGCTCTCAACCCCAAGATCAGATGCTCTATCAAACATTTCTTTCATGCCAGGAATAAGAGTCTCCCCTCCTTCAAGCCCAAACCTCTTAGCTGAAGTCCACTTGGTGGCCAAAAAATTCTCAAACAACGAACTCCAAGCAAGCCTATCAAATATAGCCTCACGACGCTCTCTGTTAAATTGCACCGGTGTAGGAGTTTCAATTTTATCCCTAAGCCAATTACACTTCTCACGATCCGAAATATGCATATACTCATAACCAATACTCCCACAATAAGCCTGCTCAAGACGAGTCAATATAGATCTAAGCGTCTGAACAGGCCGATTCTCAGACAAAAAACCCGCCATCCTCCAAACACCCAAAAAAAACTCCCTATCAAGATCGGCCTCAGAAAACCCATAAAGCGCCGGATCCAAATCATCTGGAATCTGCCTCGCCTCAAGATTCAACGGATCCAACTTCGCCTTCATATGCCCATTAACCTGATACGCCCTAACCATCAACAACAACCTCATACTCTCCTGAATCGTCTGCCCCGAAATCCCCGGCGAAGTAGAAGCCTGCCCAACAAAATTCCTGAAGAAATTATCCCACGACTCGTCAACACTATTGGGATCAGCTTCCCAAGCCCTCTGAAGCTCCTCCAAATACACACTACTAGTCCCATCTAAAAAACTATCAGTCAACCTCGATAGCGGAACCGCCCTCGGCGCAGGTGCAGCAGCCTGCTCCTTAAAAACAGATGTATGAAGAAACTTCCTCCCATGTAAGGAAGGAAGCACTCTAGCCCTAGATACAAGATACGAAGATCCACCTTGTGAAAGGGTTCTCTTAATAGCTTGTTTTGCTATACTACTACCAACTCTAAACCAAGCCATCACTAATTTCTCTCACACAATCCAACAAAATCAACAACAGAATTTCAAAGATCCAATATCATCAACGTTGTTTAGCATCTATAATAATCAAAAAACAACCAAATCAAACACTGTAAAAAAATTTCATGAAAAATGCAACCGATGCAATGAAATGAAATCAATGGAATTAACGATTGAATGATGAGAATTGAGAGATGGATTGGACGTCTCGAACCTGAGTAGAAGAAAATTGGGGGAGAGAAGCGAAAACGAGGAACCCTAATCGCGTGGTAGCGAAGCGGTTGCTGATGTGAGAGAGAGGCAATAGAGAGAGAGTGTGTGTTATGTAGGGAAATTAGGAATGTTAAAAAATGGAAAATTCAACGTTTTTGTTTTGTCGCACTTCTCGAACGACCAACGTGTTTTTTAGTATATTTTTCTACATGTGTGTGAAGTGTGATGTATCAACATTGACCAAGATTATTTTATTTTGTGTATAGATAAGAAAATGTACTTAAGAACCTATTCTACTTGAAATTGTTATCTAGAAGAATATTGTTTTAACCTTGTCTATTTTATACTAAGTGTATTTGGTTTTTTAAGTAATATATTATTTTAAGAAAAAAAATATTTAATTTTATTCACTCTAAAATATAAAATTGTAATTTGTTAAATTGTTAATCTTTGAAATTGAATATATTATTTTCATCTTATTTACTATAAATAAATTATTAAAGAGTCTAGTTTCGGATCAAAATCAAAATTATGTTAGGATGGTTGTGTTGGATTCTTGATGTGAGGCTGTGGATCTTCGATGTGGCGGAGTGTGGGTTGAATTTGTAAGATTAACACTCTAATGTTTAACTTTAATGTTTAAGACAGTCATCGACTCTAAAATGGGATAGAGTTAAGTATGAAAAGTATATGTGTACTTTACATCTTACACTTGTAGAATTATTTATGTATTTGGATTGATCTTGTTGTTGGGACTTCTTTTGAGTAATAAATGGGTCTCTCTTTATTGTGCATTTGGTCAGCCCATAACAGTTGTCTCAAGGTTTGTCGTGAAGTGTTGAATAGGAAGTCTTCTAGAATTGGTGTCTGTCTAATGTTGTCAAGTTTCCTGTAGCAACATATTAACAAAGCATTAAAACACTAAAGAGTAGCAACATATTAAAATAAAGTACTCTTAAAAAAATAACAAAATAAAAAGACAAAAGAAAACCTAAGCTCTTGATACCATGTAGAAAGTTAAAAAGATATAAAAAGATATTTGTATAGATTTTGATAATAAAATTATTCCTCCTTCCCTATTTTAAAAAAAAAATCTAAAATCATATAAATTTTGATACGCAATAGCCTTTTACGAAGCACATACACTGCTTGCAACTTGTGTGTCCACTTATGTGACACAGTTGGTATTAGACACGCGTCACACACCTGTACGAATATGTGAGAAACAGAGAGAGGTCTCTTGGAAAAAAAAAGGAAAAAAAGTAAGACACAATTTTAAAGTTGAAAAAAATATTTTAAGGGTTGAACATAACTTTTAAAGCTTAGAAAAAAAAACAATATAAACTAAATATTACTTGCCCCATCATGAATAATTTCTTCTAAACTTTCTTTGCCATTCGATTATTCTTAGCTCTTTTTTCTTTGCTGAGTAACATCAAAACATATTTTGCTTATGTGTTTTTATATGTTCAGTACTTCTGCGTTTTCATCTTTGTTAGTGCTTCTGCTTTTTTTCCTTTATTGTGTAACAACATAAAGTGATTTTTTTTTGGAATAACTAGGTATTAAAAAAATATTCGCAAATAACCATGTTTCAGAGAAAATTACGCAAATAACCATGTTTCAGAAAATTCCCCAAGGGATGAGTCATCTCACTTGGCGCCTACACCTTATTTTAAAGGGGAGGCGTCATCTCACTTGGCGCCTAGGTGTTAAAGTCTTGCCCTAAGCCAAGTGAGATGGCACCTTAGTGCAATTGGGAGGCGATTTTTCGCGTTTTTTATTTTAAATACGGTGCGTTACGTATTCGATATAGGATCAACAAAATTGACTTTTTATTTACAAAATATGATTACACACATAACGATTACATAAAAAAATACAGATTAATCAGTGGTCCTCTGGAACCCGGTAATGACCCCCGGTTCCGCATCCCCGTCCTCGCCTTTCCCGTGCTGGATTTCGTCGTGTTTCCTGTTGTGGCAAGACCGATGGCCCAGCGAAGTCAATGTGTTCTAGATCCATGAAATCGATCAGATATCCATATCTAGAAGATCCGCTTTGGTACAGTCGGTTGCCCATACCCTCAAAGTTTGATCGTGTTGGTGGTGGGTGGGGTTCCATGGTTGGTCTGTAGCATTGATCGTCTGAGTACAGGGGATAGAAAGGAAATGGATCTTGGGGTGTTTGGTATTAAGGATGTTGGTGCTTTTGTGCTGTTGTGGTTGATGGTAAGTTGGGTCGGTTGGTTCATAATCTTCGGACAATCCTAGATCAGGGCTAAGGTTGGATGTTGAGGGGCCCATATTGGGATATGTAGAAGACTGAAATTATGTGTAGGGCATGCAGGTGTATTGGTATTGTGATTGAAATTGTGGTTGGGTGTGAGGCGTATGGGGGTATTAGTACTGAGGTGGTGATTGTGGTTGGTTGTGGGGCATGTGGGTGTAATTGTATTGTGGTGGTGACTGTGGTTGGGTGTTTGTGGTTCTGTTTCGTCGGGGGGTTGGTGGGAGGTTGATGTGTGTTGGGTTTGTTGTTGGGGAAATGAGAGTTGTGCCCATTGTGTTCGTGGGTCAACCAAATACCTTGGATGAGACACGTGCATTTCAGGGGTACTAACTGATTTGTACCAAGATAAATACTTATCCGTGTGTCGCATATTACCATGGTTGAGGAAAATTGGGAATTGCAAGACATGTCGGTGACGACTCTGCCACATCTTACACCATTCTGGAGCAAAATCTTTCCAGTTGGTAAGACCTTATTGGACGTCGACCTTATTGGACGTCGACCCTTTTGAGATGTCACGAGGACAAACAAGTCGGATCACCGGGTATCTCTTGATGCATTCCAAACTGCATCTTGACACGGTCGTTGTGGTGCATCTCCACAATATTGAACCGTATGATTGCAGTTTTTGCCCTCCAAATTGTTGCATCCTCGGGGTTTGGTTCATGGTCCAAACCCAAATATGGTCTCCAGACAAACTGCGAATAAAATTAAATTAGGTTAATGAAAATGTAATAAATAAATACTTTAAAAGTAGAAAAGTTGAAAGGTATGATGTACATCATCCGAGACAAGGTGATCCAATAGATTATGGTATAGAGCGACATTGAATCTTGGATTCTTGCCGTAATCTATACCCCTTACGCAGTACCTAAAGGAATTGAAAAATATTTTATTTTTATCATATATTTGGTGAAGAGATGAATAGTAATAAATAATATAAGTTGATGACTTACTTTGTTGCGTATGGGAAAACGAATGTGTTGTTGTTGACGGGGTTTAGGGACTCCATTCTCCACCAACCTTAGGCTTGAAGTAAAAAAGCGCAGCCATAAAATGTATATTTTTCCTTGATTGCATTTTTACACAAGAAACTGTATAGATGGGCTAAAACAGCAGAACCCCAACTATATTTTCTAGTTTTTTCGAAGTCTCTAAGTAAATTTAAATACATAAAATTTACACTATTTCCCATACTTTCAGGAAATAAAAAGGTTCCAAATAGTATCATTATATAATTTCTAGCTTTTATTACCTTAGCTAGCTCGGAGGAATTTTCGTTCAATTCCAGAGTCGCATAATGATTTTTTAGCTCAGTAAGTAGTATACCCTGACCTCTCGCACCACCACCTTCAACCATATCCCTGCCCAAAAATTCTTCACATAGAGAATTGGGTTGTTGAACCGACCCTTTAACCTCCTTACCGTCGACAGGGAGACCCAATAATATGTACACGTCCTCTAGTGTGACGGTACATTCACCTATTGGTAGATGAATTGTATGGGTCTCTGGTCTCCATATTTCCAACATTGCAAGTATGAACTTTGAATCAATCGTGCAGTTAGAGATCTTTATAATGTTTCTGAAACCTGCGTATTTGAGATAGGGTACGATCAATGGGTCAGGAGCAAGGTAGTTGTGTGACCGGATTCTGAATCTTTTAGTATCCTAAATTAATAATGTAAAAAGTGTAAGAGTAGATAAGATGAATAAAGCATTAATAGAAGTATGAAAATTGTATAAGTATAAAAGAAACTTATAAACGCTGCAATATTGTCCCTTGTGCCTCTTTGAAAATCGCCCATTGTGAGAAGAGCCATTGCTGAAAATGTCTGAGATTATAAAAGAGTTTGAAATTGTAAGAGATTATGAAAGAGTTTGTAGCAGAGAGTGAGACGATTGTGGATGCGATAGAAGTATGTGAGGCTTTGCATTTATAGACAAAATTTTATCATAGAGTAAGTGAGGTGGTAGGTGGGTGGGTGCATGCATGATAAGTGTCACTCTTGAAGTGTAGGTGCAGGCTACGTGGCAGCATTGGGGAAGGCATCTTTGCATGCATGTAACATGATTGGACGTGAAGGAAGGCGCCATTGGACTTGGCGAGAGAGTACAAAAATGAAAGGTGTCACCATCCATGTTGGCGAATAAGAGGTGGCATGGGTTGCAGTGTAGGTGCAGGCTAGGTGACAACCTTGGAGAAGGCATCTCTACATGCATGTAACACGATTGGACATGATGGGAGGCGCCTTAGAGGTTGGTATGGGTTACAGTGTAGGTGCAGGGTAGGTGACAGCCTTGGAGAAGGCATCTCTGAATGCATGTAACACGATTGGACGTGAAGGTAGGCGCCATTGGACTTGGTGAAAGAGTACAAAAATGAAAGGTGTCGCTATCCCTATTGGCGAATAAGAGGTGGCATGGGTTGCACTGTAGGTGCAGGCTAGGTGACAGCCTTGGAGAAGGCATCTCTGCATGCATGTAACATGATTGG